ACAGAAATTACGTAACAATATAATGGCAGTGGAATCATAATTAGAACCTAGGCGGAATGACGGCGAATACCTACGAAAATTTCATAATAGAAAGTACAATAAAGTCTTCCTAATTGATGCTCAGATCGTGCACAAAAATGGACAATTTGGGAAGAGGAGACACGATTATTCGAGCCTTGCGGCTCGTTTTTATAATCGTTGACAAATTGTTGACAACAATAGTTATCAATCGGTAACTATAAAAACAAGCCGTAAGGCTCGAATAATCGTATCTCCTCTTCCCAAATTCTCTATTTTTGTGTACAATCTGAGCATTTGAGCAAATCGGAGAATTTACTGTATAAAAATATTCAGACATTCGTTTAAAAACAAAATTACCGACTGCAGACTGCTTGCGCGAGATAAAACCGGTAGTCACAAGTGACAGAAACTGAAAATAAAATATTCTGATTTCAACGAATCGACGTCCTTAGATAACTATAATTTTCCTACAAATTTTCGATTTCACCTACTTTCGTAAACGCATAAACTCCGCAGCCTAATGTCGTTGTCATATTAAACGTTAAAAAGATGACGGTGCGCTCGACACAACTGTATGGCATGAACACGTGAACGCGCTCGAACTCGCGAACGCGTTTAAGCGATAAAAAAGAAAAGCAATCTCAATAACATTCAGAGTCGACCGAAAAGAGCATTTCACCTGCAGTCTTAAATATATTCGCATATTCTCTGCTCGCAATAATTCGAAGAAACTCTCCGGAACAGCTACGGCGCCGCGTTCTCCAAGATGGCGGCGGCAGTCGCGCCCGCCATCTTGGAGATCTCGCGTCGGACGTTCACGGAGCTTAAATAATTATCTCGAGCAAATAATTGTCGCCTGATGAAACTCGTTTTCGGGCAATTCGCGACGAGAAATGACCAGCCGTGAAGCAGAATTTTTCAGATAAATCGCACGAGATTCGCGGAAATTATGCGATTTCGATTCGACTTGATCCCACCACTAGTTAAGGCCGCCTTTCGAAACTCTCGCTCTCTTTCTCTCTCTCTCGCTCTCTTTCTCTCGCTCTCTCTCTCTCTCTCTCTCTCTCTCTCTCTCAAATCTTACAATCCTATTTACTGTCGGAATCGCACACACGGTTCTCGATGTCATTCGCGCACAGAGTAATAACCTAAACGTTCTACGTCTATCCAACGGGAGAAAAAACAATACTAACGCCGGTTTCGCCACCGAGTTCGCTCGGAATCATAGCAACAGAGCGCTTGTCCTCCGGACAAGCACCGATCGAGGACGCGCAGAGCGTCGCCTTTAGCTCCGATTACAGTTGTTAGTAAGCCGAAACTGTTCCAAAAAAACAAAAAACATATCGTACATGGTCTACGGTATCGGTTAATGTCTAGTTAATTAACGGGAAGGAAATTAACCGGTCGGACCTGCTGTTTCACGCGAGCATAGTTTCCCAACTTCGGTCTCGGAGCGCTTGAACAATGAAAAAAATGTTGTAAATTCTTCGAATCGATCGTAATACTTTCGTGTATGAATAAACAAGAAATTATAACAACGCTATCGGTATTAGTTTCGCAATTTTCGGGCGCCGCCATGTTTTGTTCTCGGGTGTTCGTCTTCAATTTATTATTGTTAACGTATCCACATTTGCCAAGCATTTTCGTCAGAGTTAAAAAATATTATAGTAAGATCTCAAGCATTAGTTTAATCATTTTTAGACACTGTCGTCTTCTTTTTACTGTCGTTAATGTACATAAATCTACCAAGCATTTGTGTCGGAATCGATAAAATATTATAATAACACCGTCAGCATGATTTTTACAATTTTTCTACGCCACCATTTTGTTCGTGGTTCTGTTAGTCTCCTTTCCGCCACTATTAATGCATGTTTCCAGTTACCGTTTTCTGTTCGTAACGTCTACTCATCATTTCCCTATTCGCATTCTCCAGTTCTGTTTTTCGCCGAACAAATTTTGTCCGCAAGCTCTCGGTGCAAGGACAATCGATTTTAATCGAGTGCCCGAGAATCCGGAAATAAAATCGCAGTGGTCAATAGATTCGAATGAAGCCGAGCCTTCGATGTTTCTATTTCGGAACGTGGAATCGCGTTTCGATTAACTGGGAGCAGTGTTTTCAGCGCCCCCGTTGGGAAACTATGGTTAGCGGGCACTTCCGGTGGTTCATCCGCGACAGAGTCTACCTGAAAGAACTGTGTTCGATCCCCCTAATAGTACCTAGACTGCGAGTCCCCCATGCGTCCCGTAATAAATTCCAATCGGCTTTCGTGGTTTCCGGTCCGCCGCGGCCCATCATCGGGCGCGGGCATTCGCAGTCCACCGACAACAATCGAGCCGCTAACAAACGAACACGAGAAAAATAGATATATCCACGTTGCCATTTACATATCCGTAACGAGCGTAATATCCTCTGCGTTCTACGATTAATTCCGACGTGTACTCTAAACGGATAAAATCGAAGGTGATTCCGCCTAACGAGAGGTAAAAGAACAAGTTTGCCTCGGAAGCTACGATTAGTTTTCATCTGTTTTTTTTCCTGTTTCTTTCTTTTTTATGTTTTACTTTTCTTCTAGTCGTCTCTCTGTGTGACCGTGTGATTATGTGTATGTGTGGTGTGTGTGTTTGTTTGTTTGCGTATTCGTTGTGTGTGATATCAAAAAAAACCGACGGACGCGCTGGATTCACGCGTGCCCGGTTATGTTACGCGACTTTGAACCGTTCGACAATTACAAAAATATGTGTATACGCGCGCGGCTCGAGCGCGCGACATCATCTCTCGTTTCATAGTCGTTTCTTGTTCACATCGAAGCGAGTAATAAACGTTATTGTATGGCGTTAAAGCTTTCGGTAGCATCCTTATACCCTAAAGCTGCATCGTTCGCCGCCGATGCGTTTCTTTCACTGTACCGTGACAACCTCGTCGTCCATAGAACATCGGACACACCCCGTTTACGATTAATTACAATTACGTGAACAAGTAGTACGAGTTTTCAAACCA